CAGCCTGTGATTTCCACTGACAGCTAGAAATGCAGCTTCAAACAGCTTGGCTTTCATTAGTAACCATGCAGCCGTTTGGCAAATAAAACCAAAAAAAACTTTGCGCTGGGTCCAAACTATACAGCTGGAGCTTGTCAGCTTAGCGATGGGCTCTGCCAATTGCTATTCCTGTCACTTGTTCATTTGGAATAATCTGCTACTTTGAAGAAAGTTGAACCGGTGACAGTTAATCAGGGTAAGCTTTCAGCACAGATCCCATAGACTGACGGGCATTGCTTTTCTTTTTTTCTGGTTTTGATACAGATTGATCCAACCAGTGGAGGTGAACCCTCCTCTCAGATGAGGACGGAGGGGGTCAGTGTTTTTTATTTGGCTGGATCTCAAGTGTCAATATCATTCTTGTAGGATACCTAATCCTAGCTTCCCTACAGAATGAATGGCAGGTCTGATCATCTCCAGAGCTTATTTGGGGGTCTCAACTCACAGGTTGCATACCCCACATCTAGACAGCAGCTTAGTAGAATGAAGGACAGGTCTGATCATCTCAAAAGCTTATTTGGGGGTCTCCACTCACAGGTTGCATACCCCACATCTAGACAGCTTCTCAGTAGAATGAATGGAAGGTCTGATCTTCTCAAGAGCTTATTTGGGGGTCTCAACTCACAGGTTGCATACCCCACATCTGGACAGCAGCTCAGTATAATGAATGGCAGGTCTGATCATCTCCAGAGCTTATTTGGGGGTCTCATCCCACATCTACGCAGCTTCTCAGTTGACTAACACATTTGGTCATCTTGAGAGCTTTTATGGGTTCTCGACCCAAAGGTTGCATACCTTCTATCTAGACAGCTTCCCAATCTAGTGAATGGCACGTCTGACCATCTCAAGAGCTTGTTTGGGGGGGTCTTAACTCAGATTGCATGCCCCAAATCTAGAAAGCTTCTCAGTAGAATGAATAGCATGTCTGGTCATCTCAATAGCTTTTATGGGGTTTTGTCCCACAGGTTGCATACCCCACATCTAGACAGCTTCCCAATAGAATGAATGGCACATCTCGCCATCTTGAAAGCTTGTTTGGGGACTTGACTTTTAGGTTGCATACCCCACATCTAGACAGCTTCCCAGTAGAATGTATGGCATGTTTGAGCATCTCGAGAGCTTGTTCGAGGGTCTTGACCCAGAGGTTGCATACCCCACATCCAGACAGCTTTCCAGTAGATTGAATGACACATTTGACCATCTTGAGAGCTTGTTTGGGGGGTGTCTATCCACAGGTTGCAAACCCCTCATTGCTTGTCAACTCATCAAATCCCCTTGATTAGGGTTCCCGGGTCTGCCTAGTATAAAATGTTACTGGAATGAAGGCTATCACCCATGATGTTATGTGACAGTCGCTAATCACTGAAACAAAAGGCTAATTCTCCCCCACCAGACCATTGTGGCAGTGACCTTTTGTATTTTCTATCCCCACTCCAAACAAGCCAGACTCTTTTATTATTTTGCTATCAGCTTGTCAAAGGCTGCAGAGTGGTCGTGCCATTGTTTCCCTGAGATTGTCACAGCAGTTGTTCTCGTCTGCCCATGTAGTCATGTTTACTTTTTTTTTAACCAAATGAATTAAGAGATCAAATGTCTGTTTGTTTGTGAGCTGAGCACTAAAGTGTTACAACCTTCACATTCCTGGTTAATTGTATTCACCCCCCCCTCTCCTCCTCCTCTGCCATCAAAGAGGCAGATCTTCTTGTGTGTGATTGAAATTGATCTCAGTAGCTTCCTTCAGGCATTTTAGATCCTGGCACGGAGCCAGCTCCTCTTCCCAGAAAGCCTGCAGAGACATTTAAACTATCACAGGGCCCATCTCCTGGTCTCTGTGCTGATTTGCATAATGGAGACTTTAAAGTAGCTAGATTATTAAAGTTTAACAACATCACAATCAATTGTTGCCCCCCTCAGCCCCACCGCCTCGTTTTCGGGATCAATAAAATGCATTTTCTCATCTGAACAGCGAAGCAATTGTCTAATTATAGCAAAATGTAATCATTGATTTGTACAGTTTTTTGTTTTTTTCTTTTTGTGTTTTGCAACGTGCTGCTTAATTTGAATTACACAAGAGGATAATACAATAGTGCAGTAGAAATGTTCGGCTGGGATCCCTCCTGGGGCAGTCTGCTAGCTGGGGAAATATGTGTGGCATTTTGATGGCTTGTGTCTGCAGGCCAAAGGGCCCATGTGAGCACCCAGGTCCTTGCAAAAATAAGCGCCTGACATTTTACAGCACCTACAGAGAGCAACTGTTGGAACAGCCGAGGCCATCACCCGCTGTATGTAGTGTACACGGTCTTGTGTCAAAAAGATCAGAATGCTCAGTAACAATATATATAATAAATCTGAAAGTAGGATTGACCAAGAGTGATCTGCTTTTACCAGTTGGCTCCCAGTCAGCTTTTTAGAAGGAAGTCTTTTTTTTTTTTTCTGGCTGAGCATGAAAGGAATGCAGATGACTCATCCAGTTGTACTATTGGCTAGCAGATCAAATTCTTGTCCATTGTACAATTTTCAGAAGTCTCTAAAAAGAATTGTGGATTCTAATCATTCATTTATAATTAGTCGATATCTCTAGTGTCTGTCACGTCTTTTGCTTCCTCATTTCTTTTGCAACTCTCCGAGCTTCTGCAATTTTGTTTCTCTTGTGATTCTGGCTGTTCTGCAAATTTGGCTGTTTTAGAGAAATAATACTTGGGTTTCTGGGAGGAAATAGCTGGCGTCCATTACGGCCAGATAAGTCGTTGCCTATTCATAGCCGGAGCGTATGAGCGACTTTGTGGCCTATGTTAATGAGGCGAGGAGCAGTGCGCAAAGTGCAGTGTCAGCAGCCAATCGGCAGTCTGGTTTCCTCAGTCTGGTTACATTGGGGGATATCTGATGGTTGGTGTTGGTTTTCTGAGTTCTTTGCAGTACGCCGGGTTTCTGTGCTATTCTTGCTTGACTGTCATGCACTTCAAATGTCAGCTTAACCACCTTGTGTTTCTCAGCTCAGCAGATGAATGAATCTGATTAGAGGCAATGAGCAAAAGCTCTGATTGTGCTTCGGGCCTGTCGCTGCATGTTGCTTGAAGTGTACAATATTCATAGTGATATGAAAATTAGCGTTGTTGCACATTGCAACCCAAGCCATCATGTCTCCTTTAGCGAGAAAATGACCAGAACCTTGGTTGTTATGGGCTACAGGTTCATTCTTGCTCCTTGTTTTATACATCAGCCCCATTATCTGCAACATCAAGGGGTTGTAGCCTGCCCAGGTCTCGTGGAATCTGGTTGCCATGAGCAGCCCCTCCCAGGTTTGCTGCAGTTTTTATAAACCTTTTGCTGTTACTGCTTAAATTCACATCTCCTCTTGCTTTGTTTTACAGACGTGCTTGGAACTTGAACGCTACCTACAAAATGAACCTTGCTATGTTTCGGCCTCTGAGTTTAAGTTCGATCGGGAAGAGGATCTTTGGACCAAATTTATCCTGGCATGTGAAAAAAAAGAGGACCCGGACCCCCAGATTCACTGCATCAAAACCGAGGACATCTCTGACAGCCAGAACTTAGAGACAACTAGCCTGAACTCTGACATCAGTAGCGACTTGTCGGACAGCTCTGAAGAACTTTCCCCGACTACCAAATTTACCTCAGATCCGATCTGCGACGTGGTGATTAAAACTGAACCGTTTAGCTCTTCGGTCACCTCCACCCCTCCTTCGTCCCCTGAGCAAGGCAAGGAGTCCCCCACTCATTTGTGGAATGCTATCACCGGAGAGCCCCATTCCCCTGGGAAAGTGCGCTCTGGGTGCTTTGGAAAGACTCTTGAACAGGGTAGTCCAATCAGCGGAGAGACCACGCCGGACGGCAAGAAACGCATCCACAAGTGTACTTTTAATGGCTGCAAGAAAGTTTACACCAAGAGCTCGCATCTGAAAGCACATCAGCGTACCCATACAGGTCAGTGCTTGTTCAGTGATTGGGAAATAAAAGGGGCTTGAATCCCTTGCTGTCATGCCATTGCACAACCACAGGGTGGAAACACAAAGTCCATCAGTGATGTCATGGTAAATCCTTCTCTAGGGGAAAGTCCTTCCTCATTCCTTCCTGCTGTGAGGCTGGAGCTTAGACTACAGAGAGTGCGTCCAGGAAAAAGGAATCGCATAATGCTTGCCCAGCATGAGCTTCCTAAATATCCATTGTCTTTCCTTAACTTGTGTCCACCGGAAAATAGTAATGAATGAGCACAAACAGAAAAAGCAGGACATCTCTCTCCAACACGTGTGTCATCTAACACTGTCCCGTGCAGTGGATGGTTAGTTTGTTGGTACGATGAGAACCAGTATTTGCCCGTCCTAATTTTTATAATTTTTATTACTTTTGCAACATTTTACATGCAGATATCAAAAGTGTTCCAATGTGCTGGAAGATTTCTGCTCAACATTATACAGTTTTCATCATTCAGATAAGGGTTGTCTATGGTTGTTTATTGCCCATATTACCTGGAAATGACCCCTCCTGCTTTTAGGTCCATTGACAAATGTAAATTAAAATGGTATTGTTTGGGGCAAGACATGCATTTACATTGCTAACATCCATTTGTATATCTGTATTGTGTACAGACTGTCCTATAAGCTAGGGTGACACAGGAGCCAAATAGTCAAATCCAGTAGCCAGGTACCATACACTTCCATTAACATAAACGTGAATGAGCATAAAAACTTCAGTCTCTGCATTTGCCTTCCTTTTTAAAGCAATGTACCCTGGGTTTTCTCCAAACTATAAGTGTAAGGCTGGCCATATACTTGTATGCTCGAATTCTCCATCCAGGCTTAAGAGGGTGAATGGACGAATCTTCCCTGCCGGACTGTTGTATTCTAACAGCTGGCACCGACAACTGCTAGAATAGCAGATCAGTGACTGCAGCTGCGGTCACTGTTAAGCTGGCACTTTTCGGCCCAGCTCCTTCAACACAGGTCAATCTTTCAATCACATTTTTTGAGCAGAGCGGTGCTGACAGGGCCACACACAGCTACCGTTTTGTCAGCAGGATTCGGCCCAACGTCGAGCAGTGTATGGTGATTCTTATCCTTGCGATCGGCCATTTTGTGTGACAAAAAAACTAATCTAATTGCATGCTATTGGCAGTTGCAATTTGTGTTTCGGAAGTGGTATTAGTCCAATATGGAAATCAACTGTATCTTTGTATCTTGTTTGTGTATCACTCGGCCGTAGATCCTCAAATCATGTCTGAATTAGTGCTGATACTGTCCTTCCTTCTGGAGGGTGGTTACTTTTGCTCCCTATAGTCCCTGTGTGTGTTGTAAAGTAGTCACCGCTCCACGCTCGCTCCCGTGATAGACAACAATCTCAATACAAATTAGTAAACTAAACGTGAGATTGTAGTCCATCACAGGAGTGAGCTTAGAGCGGTGGCTACTTTTCAAGACACAGGGACCATGGTGAACAAAAGTAGCGACCCTCCAGAAGGAAGGACAGTGTCGGCACCAACCAGATGGTGATTTGAGGATCTAGAGCCAAGTGATCCACAAATGAGATACATTTTTGTTAATAGTTATGATACTTAAATGCTTTTTGAAGATATATTGCAAATGGTTACAAGTACTTTGAAGCAGCCCAATTAGTAGACATGGATTTTCTTGACCTTTCCTGACTTTTCATTCCTGTACTAGGTGGGGAGTACACAGCAGCCCAGCACATTGTGTACCGTATGAATCAACATATTTATGTACTGGCACCGCTGTGTATAAGCTGTAACAAATGAAGTTATTAAAAATAGAGCTATATTGGCCAAAAACCTGCAAATGCCAGACTTGCTGGATGTCCCGGCCTTAAACCAAGCATGAGTCTGCTAAAACTGTTTGCTTAAATTAATCCGTTAAAACCGCAAAATAAGAAACCCGTTCATGGAAACCTGTGCAGAGAAGTATTTGACTGCCATTGCTGACCTCCTTCTGAAAATGCCAGTTGCCTAGCTTTCCCTGATTTCAGTCCCTGAGACTGTGACCTGAAACAAGCATGCAGCAAGAAAGATGTCGGGTACCCTGACATGCCTGCTTGTTCCTGGTCAGTGATTCTAAGTTATTGAATCAACATTGGAGCCGGGCAGCTAGGTTTTTGAGAAGTAAGGCAATGGTGGCCTCCATAGTTGCCAGATTAGAGATCTGTTCCTGAGCTTGTATTGCTTACAGTCTTATATTCAAGTCATTAAATCTATCTTGCTGGCATTGCTGCAGTCACAGGCAGAGGGTGAAGAGGAAGCCGCAAGGGAAGTAAACTGACTGTGAAAGATGTCATCGTGAATAGCATCAATTCTTTTAAAGCTGAACTGAACTTTTTTGCTTAAATCTGCTAAATGCTTACCAGTTACAGTTAAAGGTGTGCAATGTCTTGCGTTGGAAAACGGCCACAGCCTGGGTAACCAAGCTTATCTTGTGGAAGCAAAGGTCTAACGCACCCCCTGCTGAGTCAGAGCTAAAGCTCTCCAATCAGCAGGGAGAATGGGTTTTGCTGATTGCAAAGCTATAGGTCTGACTTGGTAGGGAGGGTGTCAGACCTCCTTCAGAGAGTGCGCTGCTTCCACACAGGAAAAGGCCAGGGCAGCTTTCTGAACAAAACAAACTGTCAGACTTGAAACACATTCAGCTCTATTCACAAACCCATCAGGTTAAGGATCCTTATTTTTAAAGAAAAAGTGACAGTTATTTCCTAGTGAAGCTGATGAGATTTAAAAATGGCATTTGCATGGTTCGAAGAAAGATCCTTCTCCTTCCGTAAGGCCCTGTTCACATTGAGCGATTTATCGCGCGATTTTTGCAGCGATATCGCTCATATTTCCACGCGATATCGCTCTATTTAGCTTCACCAATACATTTCAATGTAGCTGTTCACATCTCGTCGCTCAATATCGCTTGTAGCTCGTCGCTGGTAGCTTGTCGCTCCTACATGACCCTTTTTTCGAGCGATTTTGAGCGACATTGCTCCTGATTGCATACAGCCCAATAGGAAAAACTTGCGCGACACGTCGCTCAATATCACTCGTCGCGCAATATCGCTCAAAGTCGCATGATTTTCATGTCGCTCAGTGTGAATAGGGCCTTAAAGCTTTGTGAATGGAGCCGATTTTGTTTTGATGCTTTCAGAATGAGTTTAGCTGATTTAAACTCCAAGTTTAGTTGTGCTTTTTTTAGGGTGTTGCCATTCTTCTGCCATGCCGCTGATTGTCAGGTTAAATCACAAGGCAAAATAAGGTCCTCGGCCTGTCGCCACCCAATTACACAAAATGCATTTTTAGTTTCTCACAGTGAGCAATGGCTCATTCGTTTTACTTTCCCCGGACCTAGGAGATTTGCAAGTTTGACTTTTTGATGAGCAAGCTGAGGATAACAAATGTTTGTTTCATTGTGATCTGTTTAGTGTGTGTGCCTAATGGAATTACTCGGATTACACAATGTGAACTATACACGGCCCCATTTACAAAGAAAGAGAACTAACCATTTGGGTGCCAGTGGCTGTGCAGATCTACAAATGCATACATTCTGATTAGATTGTTCTAACTAAGCAGATTTATGTTTTTCCCTTTTATGGTTTGCCAGTTGTAATTACTGATAATTAAACCAGATTGTTTTTTGTGTTTTTTGCAGGAGAGAAGCCTTACAGATGTTCATGGGAGGGCTGTACGTGGCGCTTTGCACGAAGTGACGAACTGACCAGACACTTCCGAAAACACACCGGTGCTAAGCCATTTAAGTGCACACATTGTGACAGGTGAGATAGGGAGCAGTCCATATCTTGTACTTTTTCCATTTCCTGTTTTCTGTAGGTCCTTCCTTGTTTTGCAGATTTGACTGATATGCACATGACATTGTCACTCGTACAGAACAAAATGGCTGCTGGAGTTGCCTAATGTGAACCAGTCCCGGCCTAAAATGTTTTAAGTGCAGGCACCACGTACTGGTGTTAGTCTATAGTCCAGTCACTAAAGATCTAAGGCTCAGATTTGACTGCCAAAGTTGAGGTTCAAGCCATGATCCTCTTGCTGTAATATTGCTTGACTTTTAGGCGTTCTTGTATGAATGTTATGGGTCTTCCTATCAGAACGTTCGACACACCATTGTGCACAAAGTTCCTCTTGCTTTCCTTATACTTCAGCCTTGTCTGTCCCACTGCATATCTCCTCCTTTTTGGAGTGGAGCTGAATCCCTGAACACCAGTAAAAAAGTCAAGCAAAGTATTATGATGTGCCAGAGGTGCGACGGCAAATACAAATCTGTCTTTTTATTGTTAAGCCACACCTGTGTCCTGCACACACTGTCTTGGCATATGCAAAAAGATGTACCGTCAGGTTCTTGGTCCTTTCCACATGTGCCGGATAGCAGCAATGGTCGAATAAAGAAACCTGAAATATGTCGATAACCTGATATGCAAGGCTATTACAAAATGTCTGGTAGCCATAGCAACCTCATTACAATTGTCATATTGTAGTACAGGTTGGAAAATTAAAGCTGAAGTCTCGTAGTTTCCATGATCAGCTTGGTCAGTTCTAGAATCTAGTTTCTATTATTCTCTGTTTGCTACAGTTGCCATGCAAATGACACATTTCAGATGCTGGCTTCCAGAAAATAACAAACTGCCTGCTACTGTGCGCAGCAATTTACACATCTCTCTTTTGCCTTGTTTTCACAAGGCCGTGTCTTCAGCTTTCAAGATTTGGATGCTTGCAGACTGGCCATTTGTCATGCTTGGCCATGTCTGTAGCATCCAAACATTTAGTGCTTCTAGAAAACATGAAGGATGATACAATGTCTGTGCACATTGTCAGCAAGTCATTGTAAAAGATGGGGGTTTTTTTCTCATTCAAGTACTTCAGTGCCTGTATGTGTAACATGTTGGCTCTGATTTATCTTCATCTTTGGCATCATAGAGGGTCCATCTGTGAACAATCCTTGAGGGGGGAGGGGGCAGGACAGCTGAGAGGATTGTAGTTTTCTGTGCATAGACAGATCTGTCGAACTTTAACTGACCTTCAATGGATTGGGAGATGTGCTGCACAATCTATTTTTTATTATTTATTTATTTTTTACCTTTTGAATCCCATCTGGACAGTGAAAGGGAAGGCCGCCATTTAAAGTTGACATAAAGCTATTTCTGCACAGGCAACTTTTAGTAGCGCAGCCAAAATCGATTGATCACTACAAATCACTACAGATCAATCAGATGCTACTGCAGTTGAGCTATAAATTGCCTTTTGATTGTATGTGTGTGTGTGTATATATATTTCTTTCTTTAAAGGCCCATTCACACTGAATCCATTGCGTTGTATTTTTCATCTGAAAAATTAATGGATGGTGAATGGAGCTAGTTCACACCACTCCACTCTGTTCCGTTACATTGGGTTACGTTGCACTGGAAAAAAAAGCCCAACGGATCCAGTGTGAACTTGCCCCATTTACACCCATTATTTTTTTTGTGCCCTTCCATTAGCATCCGTCGGAAGGAAATCAGAAGGTTCAATTGCAAGTCAACAGCCCCTCCGTTGTCTTACGGTTTTCCTTTCTGATTTTGGTGTGAATGCACCCTAATGCTTGAACAACCTTCTGTAGTATAAATCTGCTTATAAACCAGTTCTGAAAATGTTGTGCTTTATTTTTTTACAGATGTTTCTCCAGATCAGACCATCTGGCTCTGCACATGAAGCGACACATATGAATGAATGAATGCAGAAGTCACGTGATTTAGAGCGACTTCAAGGTTCAATTGCCTTGTGCGAGGGATGCGAGTTCCAGCCAAAGCATGCCAGTTTGCACCCTAACCAGTTGCCTTCAAGACCTCACTTTCTCCAAGAGGCTTTGCAGGGCTTATCAATCGTGTGAGATGCGGCAGAGCCACCATACAGTGCTACTTCTGGAGCTGACTGGGCCTGTGCACCATTGGTGCTTTATCTTCTGAGTGGCTTGTCTAAGCCGTTGCCGTGAGCATGTGCACTGAGAATGTTAATGACTGGGTGACTGAATGGTGACCAGGAGCCAATGTCTGAATGAGGAAGATCTTTTTTGTTTTTTTTGTTATGGTTGAGTTCCGTTGTGAGGGATTAGCAAAAAAAAATGAAAAAATTCCCAGCCTGTATAAGCAGATGATCCCTTTCCTGTGTGAGAGGTGCTTTTGTTGTCTGGTGCAGCTATTAAACGTGCAATGTGTCAAGTAGCTTGTTTTGCTACAACGATCGTTTGTAATCCATTGTATAAGCTGTGTATCTACCAATTATAACACAACTATAACTTCATTATAATAGAAAAAAAAAGGTATTGCATGGATCGGGGGAAATGTGTACGCTTCTCCATTCTTTAATCAGGACTGCAGTTATGATTCCAGTTGAGAGCAGCTAAATACAATTGGTCTGTTGTTACATTACTTATGTATAGAATTGAAAAAAAAAAATAAAATGGAAAAAAAAATTAATAAAAAAAGGAAAAAGAAGTGGGAAAAACCACTATAGCTTATACTGATTTTTCTCATGCAGCTAATTTTTCTATTATTTATGCCTTGAGGACTAATTTCCGGTTTTCTAGCTGTTAACGCACTGTTGACCTTAAAAATGGTGCCTTATGCAAGTGGCCTTCTCCTATAATGGGCAGGGGTCTGATACAGGGGTTTAAGTGATGTAAGCTTACTTAAGGCTCTGTTGTCACCCTAGAGTGTAGTTTGTTTGTTTTTTTTCTTTTTTTTTTTTTTTTTTACTTTTTTAAATTTTGTTTTTTACCACAATGCTTGGGCCTGTGCAATACAGTACTGAAAGCGGAATAGTGAAGCACTGACAGCCAATCGGATACAGCGGGCCTTATGTATAGAACTGGAAGGAAAGAATGTGGAGGTGCCATCACTAAAATGACAGCTGGAATCTCGTTATAGACAGGACCTCTGTTTTTGTTTTTTCTTTCTGCTAGATTTATAGAAAAGGCTTGGTATTATCTGCCCCAATACCGCTACATTTGATTGGCCTGTACTGCTGGTGCCCACATTGTTCCTTTCAGCACAGTATTCATGGACCCTTGCTCTGCTAAAAATAAAAAAAAACTTGCACACATCAAAACAATCGAGCACAGCTTGGAAAAAAATGTTACAGTTTTGGCTCTT